CCCCCCCCCCTTTTTTTTTTCTCCAAATGATTTTGTGTTTTGTCCACATTGTGCTCCCTCTCTATCCGACATGAATCCCCTTCCAAGTCGTTGACATTGGTAGCCGGGCACCATCTAGTTCTTTTGGTCTCATTGTCATATAGGCTGCAGATCACATGGTGTTCCAGTCGCTAGGACTGATTGTATCCATGAATTTTTGGTTTTCTTCATTCTTCTTTGTTCTGGACAGGGAGAGGCCCATCGTTGCATCTAGATGGCAGCTTGCAAGCTTTTAAGATCCCAGCCGCTACTCGCCAAAGAAGGAGGTGGAACAATATTTTGTGTAGTATGTTATGCCAATTGAGCTTGGTGTCCCCTATGACTATGGTCCCTAGCCCATAGGTTCAACTACTCGGTCCCTCTGGGTAGCTGGCTGTGACCAAGCAGTGACTACCACCTTTCCTCTTGTCAGCTCTACTATACATCTGGGAATTCAGATCATACACATAAACTTATAGGACAATTGTCTGCCAATGCTATACATGTTCTTGGGTACACTCCCTGCTTCATAGACATACCTATTAGTTCAGCAAGGCTGTAAATCTTTACAGAAGTAGAATGCCACCTCTTTCTCCCACAGAGCGATTGGTAGGTTTGAACCACTGATGTTTTTTGGTAGCAGCCAAGTACTTTTCCACTGTTTCACCACATCTTCTAACTAGTTTACTACACCTACATCTTTTTATCTTGCTATAGTTAAATTACTGCCTGAGAGAAAATGAGTGAGGGAAAGGAAAATAAAACACATATTTTAAAAGCAAAAGATAAAATGAGAACTTGGTGGTTCGAAAGCACCTGGCAGAATTACCTAGGGTTGTTTAGCATACACATATTCCTACCTACTCTAAATGTACTGAATCAGAATCTTTGGGAGTTAGACTCATGGAATACTACCCACAGAGGCATCTAGGTAAGTCTTACATGCATTCAGATTTGAGAGCCTCTACAGACTATGTTCCTCTGCTTTCAAACAACAAATATCTTTTTGTGTGTGTGTGTGTGTGTGATTTGGTTGAAAGTTTAAAGAGCAGTTTCATTTTCCATATAATAGTTCACATTACTTTGACTCATGACATTGATAGTAATTTCCCACAATGCAACAACTCTCTTCCCACTTCCTTCCCATAGTTACCTCTTCCCTGTGTCCTTCCCTCCTCCTATGCACTCCTACCCCCCCACACACACAGCTGTCTCCCTGTGCTTTCACACTCTTCTATTCTCCCATCATCAATCTCTCCAGGGAGTGTATCTACCTAATGTAAATGTTCAGTTCATAGGCCTGTCATATTGAGTGAGTTCAATTCCAGACCTGAAGGGCAGCTAGGGGCCATAATCTTAGGAGTTCTACCAGGCTCTGTCAGATCAGCAAACCTGGTCTCTTTTTTTTTTTGTATGATTTTGAGTTTTGTTCCACAATGTTCTCCCACTCTATCCAGTACTAGTATGCTAGTATGCTTTTATGGCCCCCAAATAAAAATTTTTTACATAAAACTAACTTTTACTCTTAGCATATTTATTGGTCCTTGAATCCTCTATGTTGTTTGTTGTTGTTATGTGCCGTCGAGTCGGCCCCGACTCATAGCGACCCCTCCTTGGGTTTCCAAGGCAGTATCACTACGGAAGTAGGATTGCCCAGCCTTCCTTCCGAGGAGTGGCTGGTGGGTTTGAACCGCCAGCCTTCTGGTTAGCAGTCAAGTGCCTTAGGCACTATGCTACCAGAGCTCCCTGAATCCTCTATAGCTTAAGATAATTATATGAAATTATTTTATTAGAAAAATTAATATAAACTATCAGGTAATATGATTGTATCATGTGTACTTTTATGTGCTTAATGTACAGAAAAAGTGGGACTAATTTAACTAGCTTGTATGAACTTAATCTTGTGTTTAGTAGTTTTGTATAGCCAGTACTTTCAAAGGGTATAGAATTTAAATGTGAGGATAATCGCTGAAAAATTCTGTTGTGGATTTTGAATTAATTAATCAAATCAGAAGCTTATTTTATCATAAACTTCTCTTTAATAATGTTTTTTATGCTTTTTCTGTTGTTGAAGAACAATTTCTGTGAGAGAAGTATCTCGACTTCTCCCTTGAGTGCTAGAAAATATAATTCACCGACAGTCACGTCACAGAAGAAAAGTAAGAACCATCAGAAAAACACTGGAGATATTCAGAAGTAAGTGAACATCTTTGTTGACTACCTGCTATATACCAATTATTTGTTTGTATAGATCACTAATTACTAAAATTTGGGTTTATAAACTCTGCATAAAACCCACTAGTTTGTCTGAGATTGTTGCAAAGCACAAAGAAAATGAGCTACTCACATAGCTTATATTGGCTGGCACAAAGAGAGGTGATGACAGACTATTCACCCAACCACATATTTTGGCAGATTTGTAACTTTTTGTCTTGATAGCTCAGCGCAGGGTTTCTGTGTTCTTTCCTTTGGCTCAAATTGAAGTAGTTGTATTTTCTTTCTCTTAGTTTAGACTCAGGTGAGAAAAGCTGTTTCTAAATAGGGTCATCCTCATTGAAGGTGTCGATAATTTGGCATTTGAATCTAAATCCTTCTCCTACCCATTGTTTCCCAGTTATGCATCATGTTACCAAAAAGGAGCCCTGGTGGCACAGTGGTTAAAGTGCTTGGCTGCTAACTGGAAGGTCAGTGCTTCATACTCACCAGATACTCTATAACAGAAAGATGTGTCAGTCTGCATAAAGATTTACAGTCTTAGAAATCCTATGGAGCAGTTCTACCCTGTCCTGGGGGTCATGATGAATCATGTAGACAGCACTGGTGTGATTTAGTTTCTCCACAACACTCCTTCAGTAGCAAGTATGTTGATGGCTTTATGAGGTATAAGAATGTCATTTTAGAGATGTCTCTCCTCCTCTAATTTAATGAGGGGGAGACAGAATCAACCTCGGCATCAGCCCAAGACTGATTCCTATGAGGCAAAAATTGGACATCCCTCCATCCTCCAACCTTTTTCCCAATTTTGACACCAGTTATCCCTCCCATGGTGCACTCTACTTTTCTGCTGAATATAATAATTCTTCATAGTGGCTATATCAGACAGACAATACTCAACAATTATAGGTTTTATTAGAGCAGTAGCAGATTATAATTCAGGATCAGAAGAATAATACCTCAAGAAATAGAGATTATCAGTAAAAAGGTAACAGTTAATAAAAAGGAACAAAATAGAAATTATGAAGCTGAAAACTATAATAATTGAAATGAAAATTTCATTAGAAGGTTTCAGCACATTTAAGCATGCACAAAAAAGAATCAGGAAACTTGTAGATTGATCAGTGGAAAGTACCCAGTTTGGGGGGCAGAAAGACAAGAGAATGAAGAAAAATTAACAGAGACTAAGAGACCTCTGAGACATCATCAAGAATACAAACATAGGCATAATGAGAATCCCAAAAGGAGAAGTAACAAGGGAACAGAAGAAATAATGGCCCAAAACTTCCCAAATTTGATGAAAGATATGAATATACACATGTAGTAAGCTCAACAAACTCCCAAGTAGGGTAAAAACAGAGAGATCCACACCAATACACATTATAGTTGAGCTTTTGAACATAGAAGACACAGAATCTTGAAAGCAGCAAGAGAAGCAGCTCATCATATACAAGGAATCATCAATAAGAGTGACAGCCAGTTTCTCATCAGAAATCATGGAAGTCAGATGGTAGTGTGATGGTTATTTAAAGTGTTGAAAGAAAAATATTCTCAACCAAGAATTCTGTATTCTGGAAAACTACTCTTCAAAATTGAGAGCAAAATTTGTACATTTTCAGATAAACAGAAGATCAGGGAGTTCATTGCTAATAGACCTGCCCTTCAAGAAATACTAAAGTCTTTCAGGCTGAAATAAAAAGATGCTAGATGTAACTTGAAACCGTAAGAAAAAATAAAGATCACTGGTAAAGGTTAACTACATAGGTAAATGCCTGTATTACTATATTTTTGGTTCATAACTTCTCTTTTTTTCTATATGATTTAGAAGACAGATTAATAAAATAATAATTACCAATCTGTTAATGGACATACAGTGTATAAAGATGTAAGTTATAATAGTATAAAGGGACAGGGACAGAATTGCGTAGGAGCAGAGTTTTTGTATACTATTGAAGCTGCTAGTATTGATTGAAACTTGATTGTTAGGAGTTTAAGATGTTAATTGTAATTTCCAGGGTAACTACTAAGAAAATAACTTTTAAAATACACAGAAGAGAAAACAAGGAGGGAATCAAAATGGTGTATTACAAAATATCAACACAAAGGAAGTCAATAATAGAGAAAACAAGGAACAAAAAAACTATGTGATACAGAAAGCAAATAGCAAAATGGAAGAAATCCTTCCCTATTAATAATTACTTTAAATGTAAAAACATAGATAATTTCTTTAAATTAAACCTTCAGTTAAAAGGCAGATAACTGACCTAATGGATTAAAATTAATGATCTAACTATATGCTGTTTATAATCAGCTACCTTTAGATCAGATCCAAGATACAAATAGGTTGAAAGCAACAGAATAGAAAAAGATGCCCATGCAAATGGTAACCAGAAGAGATCTGTGGTAACTGTCCTTTCAAAGTTAAAGTAAAAAGTTATTAAAAGAAACAAAGAAGGACATTATACTTTGATAAAGTAGTCAATTCATCATAAAGATTTAAAATTATAAACATGTTTGAAACAGCAGAGGCCAAAATACATTAAGCAAAAATTAACATGCTTGAAGGGAGAAAAAGTCTACAATAATACACTGAGATTTTAATACCTCACTTTCAATGATGGTTAGAACAGCCAGACAGAGGATCAGTAAGGAAACAGAAGACTTGAATCATAATGTTAACCAACTTGTCCTAACAGACATATTCACAGCACTCTACCCCAAAATAGCAGAGTATGCATTGTCTATTATACACCATATATGTTAGGCTGCAAAACAAGTCTCAGTGTATTTTAGAAGATTGAACTCATACAAACTATCTTCTCTGACCACAGTAAAATAAAACTATATTTTAGTAACAAATGGAAATTTCACAAATATATGGAAATTAAACAACACATTATTAAATAACCAGTGGGTCAGAGAACTCACAAGTAAGTTTGGAAGATACTTTGAGATGAATGAAAATGATAGCACAAAATACTAAAACTTATGGTATGCAGCAAAAGCATTGCTTTGAGGGAAATTTATAACTGTAAATGCCACCATTGAAAAAGAAGAGAGATTTCAAATTAGTAACCTAAATTTACATTGTAAGAAACTAGAAAAATCAGAGTAAACTAAATCCAAAACTAAAAGGAAGGAAGTTATAAAGATAAAAGTGAAGATAAAAGGTAAATGAAAAGTTTAGGACCTGATGATTTCACTAAAGAAAAATTAATACTAATTTTTTTAAAAACCCTCCCCCAAACTAATATTCCATAAGGCTTGTGTGGTAGTTAAGGTTGTGTGTCATTGTGGGTGGGCCTGGTTTTGAGTGGCTGGGCAGCTGGATGTAGTTATTCCCCATGGTGAGACTGGTAATCAACTCCATGGTGGAATATACTTTGAGCAGCAGCCTTAGGGATGTGATCTGCTTCCAGTATATATAAGGAGAAGCTTTGAGAAAGGTATTTGAGTTTTTGGGCACTCTTGGATCCTGCATTAAGCCGAGTTTTCATTCGATAGCCTGCCATGTTGCCTGCTAATCTCGGGAGTGTTCCTACACTTGAACTAGTGGCCTGCCGTGCTGCTTGATAATCTTGGGACTGTGCCATTTTACTTGTTGGCCTTGGGTTTGTCAGCCTCAGCAGCCAGCAGCTACCTGAGTTAAGAGACGCATCTAGCTCCAGTAGGCTAGGCTCAAGAGACAGAGCTGAAGCCCAAGGTCAAGGGCCTTCACCCAGCCCCTAGAGCTGACACCAGACTTGTAGCCTCCTAAACTGTAAGAGAATATCACTGTTGAAGCCATCCATTTGTGATATTTGTGTTACAGCAGCACTAAAGAACTGAAGCACCTTATTACCATAACGCAACAAAAACCTTACAATAAAAGAAAACTATTCTGATAATTTTAACTCTCTGCAGAGCCAAAATCCTTAAAAATTATACTTGCAGACCAAATCCCAGATCATATTAAAAAAATCGTACTACTACCAACTGGGATTTATCCCAGGAATGCAGGGTTGTTTCAACATCAAAAAAATTAATCATTGTAACACCACATTAATGATCATAAATGTATGAAAGGGTATTTCTTGTTCCCAAAAGTTTGTAGAGTAACCCTTGAACAATATGGGTTTAAACTGTGCAGATCCAGTTATATACTGTTTTTTTTCAAGAGATGGATCTTGGAGAAATTGAAGAGCTGATAGCAAACCAGAGGAATTAACAGAAAACAACTAGATGGAGAGAAGTGCTTCTGAACTAGTGTCAGACAATGAGGAAGACGATGTAGAAGAAGCAGTGCTAGAAAACAAATTGACATTAGACAACTCTGGTGAAAGTTCCAATTATTCAAGACTGCCTTGACTTCTTTGGTGACTTGGACTCTTATGGTACAGGCACTGAAACTAAAGTAAATGGCAGAAGAAGGATTGGTACCATATAGAAACGTTTGTAAAGAAATGAAAAAGCAAAGAAGTCAGGCAGAAATTACAGTGTATTTTTATAAAGTTACACCAAGTGTACCTGCCTCTTCTGCCTCCCCTTCCACCTCTTCCATCTCTTATGCCTCTGCCACCCTATGACAGCATGGCCAATTCCTATTCTTCCTCTTTCTCTTCAGCCTGCTTAATTGTGGAAATGACGAGGATGAAGCTCTTCATGATGATCCACTTCTACATAATGAACAGTGAATAATCATTAGGCTATATACTTAGCTGTTGTATTTGTGTGAAAATCTAATAGCTCATGGCAAGAACTATTTGAAACTGTTTATGTTATCTGTAAGGCTTCTGGTAAACAGTAGACTATTAGTAGTTAAGTTTTTGGGGAGTCGAAAGTTATTAGTGGATTTGACTATGCAGGGGTCAACACTCTTAACCCCTGCATTGTTCAAGGGTCAACTCTATTTGGACTGATGTAACTAAATATGTGATTTAGGTACTCTGATTTATCTATAAGGGATATTCATTTGTTCTTTACAAGAGATCCTTTTCAGGATTTTATTTTATTGTCATACATGCTACTCATTGGTGCTTTTGACACAATGTAACTTACAGTTTTACAAATTATTTGCAAGCAAAACCAAAAACCAAACTCACTGCCCTCGAGTCGAATCTGACTCAGCAACCTCTCCTTGGGTTTCCTAGACAGTATCTCTACAGAAGTAGATTGCCCAGTCTTTCTACCAAAGAGTGGCTGGTAGGTTTGAACCACCAGCCGTCTGGTTAGTAGTCATATGCCTTAGGCACTACGCCATCATGTATTTTTAATTTTTTTCTTTAATTATAAAAGTAATAGGTAGCAACTCTTTGCATTGTGTTAATGTAATCTTTTTTTTAAAAAAAGAGTTAAGAAATGGTTAGGTTTTATTATTATCTAATAAACTATGTTAATAAAAAGAAATTATTAAATTTTTATTTTCTTTTAGACTGCTTTTCATTAAAATATCAATATTCTGCCTTTTAAGTTTTGTTCTGGAGCTAGATCAGAATGCTTGAGACAAGATAAAATAGATTTTTAAATACATTCTTTCTGAAAAATCAACCAGTCAGCAGCCAGCCAACCTAACCATAAATAGCTAATCTGGCTTTATCGTATTGTGTCTTTCACTTCTTTCAAACCATTCAAACTTTGATCAACTTTTTTTCAAGGTATTTGTCTTCAAAATCTCAATTTGGATTAGGATTACAATCTGAAGTTGCACAAGAAGACAAGAAAAACTCCATGTGTAAGGTATGTTGATACTGAAGATGTTCTTAGTTTGGTAAGTTTACTAATGCTGTAGAATACTCTCATACCTATAGCCCCCCTCCCTCCTGTTTTTTAATGGTGGTAAAAATAAGAATAACAAACCATTTGCCAATTCAGCATTTGTTTTCACATGTGCAATTCACTGACATTGATTACTCCTCTCCTCTCCTCTCCTTTTTTTTTTAAGTCACTGTGGCAAGTGGAACACCCTTTCTTAGTCACCTTGGACATCTCTTTTTCTCTAAAGGGCCAGATAGTAAATATTTCAGGCTTTGTGGTCTATATGGTCTTTGTCACACCAATTCAACTGTGCATTTATAGCACATAAGCGTCTATAGACAATGCATAAATAAATGAGCTTGTGTGTGTTCCAAACAAACAAACAAAAAAACCCACTGTTATCAAGTTCATTCTGACTGATAGCAACCCCCACTGGATTTCGAAGTTGGTAAATCTTTATAGAAATAGATTGCTCTGTCTTCCTTCTACAGAGTCTGGTGAGTTTGAACTTACAGCCTTCTGGTTAGCAGTCACATGTCTTAGGCACTGAGCCACCAGAGCTCCTTGTCTGTGTTCCAGTAAAACTTTATTTACAAAAACAGGCAACAGGAGGAATTTGGTATATGGACCATAGTTTGCTGATCCCTTACCTACATGATCAAACTCAGAAAACTGAGTAGACACCTGGCACCAGCTTTCTTAGAGAGATACAGGATAAGAAACATAGCGTGCCAGTAGTGCAGCATGCAACATGTCTGTTCAGGAGAGTCCTCATAGCAGAGCTCCCAAGTGACAGCCTGAGAACGAGAGCACACAATTGAATGTGGTAGCCATCCTCGCTTAGAAGGCCCATCCCCCTGAGTCAGTTATATTTTACAGTAACCCGTGGATGTAGCTTCCAGGGCTTCTGGTAAGGAACACACCAGTAAAAAAGTTAGACCTCACTTATAGAATCTGAAAGCTGTAGCTTCCCACCAAGTGTTTATAGATCATTCATAGTTCTAGTACAGGTGCAGTTCACCAGTGAGGTCATTTTTACCATAAGCCTTGTGGCCAATAACAGGTGATATTCCACTTTTATCAGGTTTACAGAACATAAAACTAGGAAAGGTAAACCAATGCTAAGGTCAATTTCTCCATAAAAAGAGAACTTTTATTAACTCTTTATTCTCAGGTGCCTAAACTTTTTTCAGCTCAGCTGGGTGGTTTTATAGCACCTAACATTTACTGGACATTTATGATCTGCCAGATATTGGATGTATTATCTTATTTCATCTTCATCATAACCACCAACTTGATATGTAAGTTGAGAGAAATGGGGTACAAAGAGTTTTAAGAGACTTGCCCAAAGATCCTCAAATAGAGTTATTAGATGGATTCAAGTCCAGATAATCTGGCTCATTCTGGAATTAGGAATTGGTGAAAGGGGTGTTGTAGGGCTGGGATATTTTTCCAACCCAGGTATTCATATTCACAGCAAAACTAGGCAGCAGCCTAGAATTTGCCCAATCCAAACCACATTTGCTCATAAGAAATTCAGTGAAAAATGAGAACTAAAAGCAGAGCAGGTAAAAGAACAGCTGTAGGGTCTCCAAGGAGAAACAGTCTTTATTCTGAGGCATATCTGCATCTAAGCCTTCCTTCTTAAGGTTTTACTGTAGTTAAAAGTAATCCGAGAACTTAACCTACCTCAGACCTATAAGTAGGAAGAATAATTACATTGTTTAAAGCAAGTGTTCTTAACCTAAACCTGTGGTTAGAATCTAGTTTAGAACTTGGATGAGAGAAAACACAAATCTTTACTTTCACTAATCTCTTAACTAATTTTAGAATTTCTTTCAATTATGAATGTAGACAATAAATCATAGTACTATTAACACAATAAATCATAGTACTATTAACACTACCTGTAACTCTGTCATAAATAGAAATTTCATTTATTTTGAAATGATAAGTTGTTAAAGTTGTCACCAAAACCCACTGCCATCACGTCAATTAGGGCTCATAGCAACCCTATAGGACAGAACTGCCTTATAGGGTTTCCAAGGCTGTAAATCTTTTTCTCTGTTTTGTTTTTAATTTTTATTGTGGTTTGGGTGAAAGTTTACAGAGAAAACTCATTTTCCATACAGCAGTTTATACATGTTTTGTCTTATGACATTGACTGCAATTCCCCCCAGTAACAGCTCTCTTCCTACTTCCTCCCTGTAGTTACCTCTTCCCTGTGTCCTTTTTTTTTTTTTTTAGAAGAGATAACCTTTGGAATATTTTATTTTGAAATAAAATACAAACATGCCAAGTGAAAAACAAAATTTTTTTCCTCCCTTTCTGAACTCTGAAGTCAACAGGATACAATGGCAGATACAGGCAAAGATTTAGTTTGTCAGAGGCACCTTGAAGACATCAAAGATGGGTACTACCAAAGGTATGACCCTTTAGCATCCCTTTTAAAGTACTCTAGGCCCCCTTCTCCTAGAAACTTCCCAGGAGCCCAGCACCACACCTCTTGCTCCCGTAAAACGGTCACTCACACTCCACAATGTCACTAATGTAATAGCAACTGAAGATGTGGGCCATTTTGTCCATTCCATGCTCTGACTTGCAGGTCAGGCTGAATCTGTCCATTAATGCTGTAAATCCTAACCAACAAAGCAAAAACGACTATATGTTAGCTGCAAATTCTAAACTTTGTAGGCCCTATTCCCCTTACACATGAGACCAGTATAAAGGAAGTACATCCCTTGGAGCTGAGTAATTCCATTATCTTTTTAACATGGTAAGGAGCCCTGGAGTTCTGCTGCTAACTGAAAGTCTGGGAGTTCAAACCCACTAGTGACTCCATGGGAGAAAGATGGGCAATCTACTTCCATGAAGATTACAGCCTTGAAAACCCTTTGGGGTCCTCTGTCCTGGCAGGTTACTATGAGTTGGAAACAACAGCAACTTGGTTTTTTTTAAATATGGTGTTACTTGGAAAGCACTCTTCAGGGCCAGTTAGGCTGCTGCTGCCTCTGGGAATTTAGATTCTCAAGGGTCATCTTCTCCATGTTTCCAGGAGCTGCAATTGGTGAAAATCTACCTCCAGGCACCCTTTTCACTTGAAACTTGCTTCCTCTTTCCCACCACTCTGTAAGGCTGCCTGAGCAAGGGAAGGGAATAGCATTTCCCATGTGAGGGACAGAGAAAGCACTAACAAAGGAGATGGATTAAGGCGTTGTGAGGGAGAACTCAACATGGTGAGCTCATTGAGGACAGGCACCTTATATCACTCATCTTCACATCTATGACAGAATAAATCTATGTGTTGAATAAATGCTTCTCAAAGTAGCTACTATATCTCTGTTACATCTTAATTGAGCAAATAAAATACTGGATGTGGACCACTTATTGGAACTTGGGATGGGAAGAAAAGCATGGTTCAAAGTGAGCCGTGTGACCCTGGAAAAGTCACTTCCAATCTCTGAGTCTCAGTTTCATTATTTCTAAAGTGATCTCAATGCTAAAAGGAATCACCCCTAAGGGTGTCCTCCTACTCTGAAAATGAAGACTCTCAGTTTCCTGTAGAGCTCAGTTTGGCTGGGCCTTAGCCGGCCTGCAGGCCAGGGCCATAACTGCCATGGCCCCCAGGAGCTAAGGCCCAGTGGCCACCCTCCTGCAGGCCAGCGGTTATCTGTGCCACCTCTCGCCCTCACCCATCACGTGGATGCCAAGAAGGACGCCCTGGGCAGTGGCAAGCTTCATTCTGATGCCCCGGGCTTCCTGAAGACTAGCAGGTCAGGAAGCAGCGCTGCCAACTGGGCCTCCATGGACTACAAAGGCCACGCTGCCAGCCGCTTGCTGGTCGCCATGGAGGCAGCAGGGCAACCCCCTGTGCCCTTCTTTCCTATGCCTACTAATCCCCTGAGCTATCTCCCTGTGCAAATAGGCTGTAAATCTTTATGGAAGTAGACTGCCTCATTTTTGTCCTGTGGAACAGCTAGTAGGTTCAAACCACTGACCTTTTGGTTAGCACCTGAATGCGTTAACCACTGTACCACCAAAGCTCCTTAGACTTGTCACTAGATCTTATTATTTAATGTATTAATAGATGTACATTATTTCATTAGAAATTTGGTTTTTTGACATTTTGATAACTGTGTTTCAGTATCCTTTTGTCAGTCTATGTTTGTTCTGTATTTAAAAATATTTTCAGAAGGGGTCTATAAGTTTTATCAAAATGCCAAAGAGGTCTGTGGCACAAAAAAGTATACCCCTGGGCTAGAGGAAGCTTATAAGGCAAAAGAAAGGTCAAGAGTTGATGCTAGCTATCGGCCATATGGAGATTCTAGTTTGTGGGTTTAAATCTGCAGGTTTTCATGAGAGTGAAAATGAAGTAAAGCTTTAATCTAAATTGCCATACAGAATACAAATATTACTAAGAAAGAATTAATAAAGTTGATTTCTAACACTCAATGTATAGTTACAAGTCAGCTATGATAATAATGTAATTAGACTTAATATACTATAGCTTGATGTTTTTCCCTTGTTTCCCTAGTTCACTTAGTCTTTTTAAAATTTTCTACAGGAAATTGACAGTAGAGATTTGACAAGCCCTACATGGCAAGACACAGAAATTGAAGAAGATATGCCAACACTTTCTCCACAAATATGCCTTGAAATTGAAGAACAAGGTGCGAAGTCTTCAGTAGAGTCACCTATGCCTCAGTTAAGTGCCTGTGGTTCAGAATGGCGCCTTGAAGGAGAAGTCAAAACAAGACCAAACAATCAGGATAAAGAGTTACATGTTGTAAATCATGACAAACCTAAAACTGGAATTCCCTACTCTTTTGAAGTTGCAGTTGAGCCTTGTGGCAAAACAGAGAGTGGCCTCAGTGTAAGTGGTATGACACAGATAATTGGAAACAGCACAATGGAGACAAAAAATGAAGAGACTAGCCTACTGATCAGTAGTGATGATATTTCCGAAAGAAAAAACCAAGAATTTTCCTTGGAAGCAGTCAAGGATCCATGCTTTTCTGCAAAAAGAAGGAAAATATTCTCCGAAGCTTCCCCAGACCAAGAGGAAACAGAAATCAGCTTTACCCAGAAACTGATAGAGTTGGAGCATCTACTTTTTGAGCGACATAAGCAAGAAGAACAGGATAGGTTATTAGCATTACAGCTCCAGAAAGAGGTTGATAAAGAACAAATGAAACCAAACCGGCAGAAAGGATCTCCAGATGAGTATCAGTTACGTGCTACATCCTTTTCTCCAGACAAATTGCTAAAGGGACAGAAGAATAATTCCAAAGATAGACAGACTGATAGAGAACATTCAAAATCTTGGAGAGGCTCAAGAAATGAAAACTGGCAACCTTCTTTTCAGATCCAGTTGAAACATTCAGTTACCATTAATGGAAGAAGAATGCCAAATTCTACTAGAGATCATTGTAAGGTATCTAAAAGTACCCGTTCCCTACAGTCCAGTAATTCACAGAAAAGTATTTTTCAGATGTTTCAGAGATACAGAAAGTAATGCATGGGTAAAGGGTGTGTTTTGTCATCTAGTAAAGCTGGATTGTGAAGCTCCATTTTTTATCACAGAATTGTTATGGGTAAGTTGTCTTTGTGGATGTGTACCCATTGTCCTTAATTAAAGGACTGTGTGATTATAAGGGAAGAGTATACTAATGTATTTCTACAAAGCTCAGTGATTAGTAAGAGCCCCAGTCCTTTCTATTATTAATAACTGATGTACTAGGGTTGACAATCCTTATAGATATAAAAATATTCCTTTGCCAACGTCAATAAATTTTCAGGTGGCATTCTTTTTCCTAAAAAAGAAAGCATGTTGGTGGCCTTTGCTTACTGTTTTGTCATGACTAGTGATCAAAGCAAGACTATATACTATACTAAGTAGTTAAAGAATCCAAGCAGGGTTTAAAAACTAAGTATTCTTACTACCTTCCCATGTATTTACAGAGCACTTGAACTGCATCATCCATAACACTACCATGATCTTCCATCTCCACTTTAATTAAAATTTAAGGATTATAGCATTTTCTTTGATTTAGAGTGTATTAGGATCACTGTCAAACCAGAAAATCAGAGTCTTCTGGAAAATTGGAAATAAGTTGACAGAAAGGAAATTAGACTCTTGATGCAAAGAGTTAAGAATTGGGGTGGGCCTGGGTGGGGTAGACTGACAGTTGGGGAGCATCAGATCTGAATGGGTGATCACAGACCAGGTCCAGGATGGAGGAGCAGGTGTAGTTTGTCAGAGCATTCTCCTTTGTCCTTTCTTTGCTGAAGGACACAGAAAGCACTTGAGTTTTTACAACTTTTCACACAATAGTGTCTGGTGAGAAGCCTGAAGTTAATTGCTACTCAATTACCTAAATTTTTGAAAATTCACATTTCTATTAATCTGCTGTTCAGAGAAAAATGGGATTTTACTGAAAGAGAATTATATCACAGTACCCTGTGTTGTGAAACCTGTGACATAACCATGTGTTTATTTCCTTATTTTATCATTTGTACTGATAACAGACTTTTACTTGTGTTCATGGACAAAAACAGAAGTTATACTACTTGGGTTTTGCCTGTCTAGCCCTAAAAGTTAAATCATGAGGCAGTGATTTCATTTTTATAAATTTAAAATAAAGAGACTGTTAATGCTTTTAATTAATGTGAACAACTTTTGCAAGCAAATAGCCTTCTTGACAACAATTATGCTGATGTCTACTTAGCCGTCCACTTAAAGGAAAAAAATAAAATATCTTAGAGTTGATTCTAGCTTAAATTTGTCAATATTTTTATACATTGTTAAGCATTTTTCCTTCAAATTTTGTAACTGAAATTCTCCTAAAATTTGCATACTTGATAGCATTTGCTTCAATATTGTGTAATTATGGGTAGAATTCTAATGGTAATTGAAAATTTAGTTTGCTCTGTCTCAAAAAAAAAGTGCTTGCCCTCTGAATAAAGATTGCAGTAGGATGTAGTCAGAAACTTAAGAACTAAATTTGTCTTAAATAGACTAAAATCTTTTTATTTTCATCAAGCCAATCCGTAGAGCAAATTTATGTTTTAGGATAGACATTATTAGTACTCCTCACATTAAAAGTTATCTAATTAAATAATTGGGAGCTCTGGTAGCATAGTGGCTAAGGCACTTGACTGCTCACCAGAAGGCTGGCGGTTCAAACCCACCAGCCACTCCTCGGAAGGAAGGTTGGGCAGTCCTACTTCCGTAGTGATACTGCCTCGGAAACCCAAGGAGGGGTCGCTATGAGTCAGGGCTGACTCGACGGCACATAACAACAACAACAACAACAACAATTAAATAATTAAATCTTCCTGGAAAGTCTTTGACCAAGAAAGGGGAAAAATATCTCAAAGTATGATATATTTAGAATTTACGTATTTAACCACTTGTCTGTGAAGAAGCCTTCCTGACTAAAGTTGGTTTTAAGGTAAATTTTAATTTTTTTATTAGCCTTTTTGTTATTCCTATCATGTATGCCTTTTTGCAAGAAAGTAATAAATGTGTCATCCATTAGAATATATTGCTACTTTTTTCTCTTATTTTTGTGGTAGAGATACGAGAATATTTATTAAGGAGTACTAAAGCTGTGCATAGATTGAGAATCTGAAAATTAAAATAATTATGAAAAATAAAAATTGAGTACATAAAAATGAAGAGTTGGTAAACTGGTGAAGAAATAATTCCAGTTCATCAAAGTGCTAATTTCCTTTCTTTAAAGTGGAATGAGGAATAGTAGTATTATTAATGTCAGATGGATCTTGGCTGAAAACAGAGAATACCAGAAAGATGTGTACCTGTGTTTTATTGACCATGCAAAGGCATTTGGTTCTATGGATCATAACAGCATATGAATAACATTACAAAGAACTGGTATTTCAGAACACTAAATTGTGCTCTGCAGCACCTGTACATGGACCGAGAAGCAGCCTTCTGAACAGAACAAAGGAATACTGTGTGGTTTAAAATTGGAAAATGTGTGTGTGAAGGTTATAACTTGCATCATACTTATTTCAATCTGTATCCTGAATAAATAATCCAAGAAGCAGGACTGTATGAAGAAGCATGCAGCATTAGGTTTGGAAGAAGACTCACAATAACCTGTGATTTGCAGATGACACAACCTTCCTTGCTGAAAGGAAGAGGACTTGAAGCACTTACTGATGAAAGTCAAAGACTGCAGCCTGCAGTATGGATTACAGCTCAACATAAGACAAAAATCCTCACAACCGGACTGATAAACAACATTGTGATAAATGGAGTAAATTAATTATCAAGGATTTCATTTTTCTTGGCTCAACAATCAATGCTCATGGAAACAACAGTCAGGAAATCAAATGGCATATGGAACTGGGCAGATCTGCTACAAAAGATCCCTTTAAAGTGTTCAAGAGCAAAGATAACACTTCGATGACTAAGGTGCTCCTGACCCAAGCCATGATATTTTCAGTATGCATGTGAAAGTTGGACAATGAATAAGGAAACTGAAGAGGAATTCATGCATTTGAATTAAAGGTGTTGGCAAAGAGTGCTGAATATAACGTGGACTGCTAGAAGAATGAACTAATCTGTCCTGGAAGAAGTACAGCCAGAATGTTCCTTAGCAGCAAGGATGTCAAGATTTTGCCTCACTTACTGTGGACATGTTATTAGGAGAACCCAATCACTAGAGGAGGACATCATGCTTGGTAAAGCGAAGGTAAGCAGAAGAAAGGAAGACTTTCGATGAGATGGATTGACACAGTGGCTGCAACAATAAGTTCAAGCTTAGCAACAATTGTGAGGATGGCACCGGACGGGACAACATTTTGTTCTGTTATACATACAACATAGTCTGTTATGCAAACTACATGACACCTAACCACAGCTAATACTGTTTAAGAAAAAGGCCAATAACCCATTAGACAAGTTTATGTGCATTCCCAAGAAAAGAAATAGAAATGACTCTTCAGTATGTGAAAAGACACTTAATTCCACTTCTACATTTTTCCACCTTCAGATTAGTAAAGATATTTTTTTGTTTTCTTATTTATACGTGTAAATGTTTATCTTGGCAAAAGTGTGTGGGGGAAATCATTCCATTACATTATTGGTGTGAATAGAAAATTTGAAAATCTCTATGGCAGTTCTGCCTCTGTTGTTGTTGTTGTTGTTATGTGCCGTCGAGTCAGACCTGACTCATAGCGACCCCCCCTTGGGTTTCCAAGGCAGTATCACTACGGAAGTAGATTGCCCCATCTTCCTTCCGAGGAGTGGCTGGTGGGTTTGAACTGCCAGCCTTCTGGTTAGCAGTCAAGTGCCTTAGGCATTACGCTACCAGAGTTCTGCCTCTAGGAATTCCTTAAAGCTATCTGCACATGTGTACAGAATGAAATGTACAAAAAGTTTTGTTACGGCAGTGTTTGTAATAACATAAGATAGAATACCTTAATGCCCATCAATAGACATTAAAATGATAGTACAGTGGAATACAGCATTAAATTTTTTACTGCTATGAAAAGAACTGTAAGATACAGTCAAGTGAAAACTACAAGATGCAGAGTAGTGTGTATAGTGTATAACCATTTGTCCAGAAAAGAGAAATGTGCGTATATGTTTGTACTGTGAAACCTGTGAGAGATGGAACTTGACTGCTTTGTTTTTCTGAGTCTCAAGTTCTCTACCGTTGATAAGGTAAGTTAAAAATATTTGAGTTTTCCTACTCTGACAAGGTTAAAGTATTTAGAAGGAGAAACTAATAACGTTGCCAATGGGGAGGGGAACTGGTAAACCACTGAAAACATGTTTTTTTCAGTATATGTTCATTTACACTTTTTGAATTTGAAATCATGCTTAATATATTACCTAGCACATTTAAATGTTCTTAAAACTGCAAGATAAAGGAAATTTATGCATCTCAGCCTGCACCACTTTAGATGGCCCTTTTTTGCCTTTAAGCTTAAAATTATAATCCAGGAAAGCTTTTCCACATGAAGAATGCTAGTAGTCAGCTTTGTGAATTATTTGAAAAGCAAACCTTGTACTTCCCAAGTAGGATGGAGTAGCTTGCATTGAGAACAATTAGAAAAGCCAGGTAAAAATTTAAAACCATCTACTTAAAAGCATCAGTGAGTTCTGAAACAATGAAGACTTACGGGGCTAAGATTTTAGAGAGGAGAGACTTCAAAGAGGTGAACTCATCCACTTCCCTTGTGGCATGTGCCTATTTTGGGTGCAGTACTAGCATCAGGGCTGCTTCTAGTGAACAGAGAAACCATCAGAGTTCTTAGCTATCGTAGCCCATGAGGCTGGCATGACAATATTGGTGACTTGAGGGTCTTCAGACACATGGCTGTTTTGCCAGGATAATTTTCTAGGATAATTGCAGAGTTTTGAATCTGCTCAGGTCAGAGGCTGAAAACCTCTGGAAAGTTTTTATTGGCTTACAGTGCTGGTGAGGAACTGTGGTAGAGTAGTGCCTAAGGCACTTGACTGCTAACCAGAGGGCTGGT